TCCTTCAACAAACAATGCCCTAAGCAATGCCCGGCCTTCCTTGACTTGACCGGCTCACCGATATTTATTGAGCTTGGCTCAATAAATAACTCCTGTCTCCTTCCTCCCCTGAGACTCACACACACACACACTGCCCTCTGTTTCTATATCTATCTTTGCCCCTGAACTGGCCAAAAGAAAATGCAGGGCCCGGCGCGCTCCCAGCACCAGGCTCGCAGGCTGACTCCCTCTCCCCTGGCGTTGCGCAGCAACGAGCCCAGCAAAACACCAGCCCGCGCCGCCCTCCCCTCTTCCTTCCAGAAGCTTTGGCTGCCTGCCACTTCGCTCTCCACGGCTCCCCATTTCTGATTCTAGAAAGCCTTTTTTTGTTGTTGTTGTTAAAAAGTCGATATGTCTATACACACACACACCTCTAAATCTGTACGTCTCTCTGGATCTGGATCTATAGGGCAATCGCGGGAAGCAGGAGCGAACCCAAGTTTTCACTACTGACTTTGGTAAGGGGTGTGTCGAGTGTTGGGGTACAGGAATGTCGGTACCAACAGTCGATATTCTCCTTCCTCTGTTCATTTTTCCCTCAAGAACTGCCTCCAACTTTTTTTTTTTAGGGGGGGGGTGCACCCACCCAGCGTTTTTTTTTTTGAGCTTTAAAGGTCTAGCCGGGAGCACCCACTCCATCCCGTCGGTCCGGGAGGAAGCAGCAGCCTCCTTCGCGACAGATCGCTGCCCATCCGCCACAGCCTGTGCTCGGTGGAGTCGAGAGAAGGGCTGGGCGGAACCGAGAGGCGGCTGCGTTTGGGCCAAAAAGACCTTGAAGGTGGGGGATGAGCAAGGGGCTTCGAGTCTAAAGGTTATGTTATTTCGAACGTGTGTGTGTGTGTGTGTGTGTGTGTGTAGCAGGTACATTCGGAAAGTTGGATGCGCCTATTTGCTCTCTCAGCAATAGCGCGCGTGCGCGTGCGCCCTACGCTCACACCGCCACACCGACCACATCACACCAACCACACAGTTGGGCAAATAAAAGTGGGGCCAGAATGCGGCCGAATGATACCTTGCATACTTTCGATGTGACCGGATTATTACCCAGCGTGCTGGCTTCCAAGCCAGGAAATCGATTCATACTTTTTTTTTTCTGGATCGGTGCTAAGCCTTTCCAAATCCACCCCCAAGATGAAGGCAGGCGAGACCGCCTTTGAAAAGAGAAGAGGCTCGTAATAAAAATAACTCCACAAACTGGCCTCGGGGGCCTCCAGGGCTTGCACAGTGCTCTCCGTGCCTTTTTGTGCAGGCTGCAAGCTGGAGAACGGCTACCTTTTGCAAAGCGGGAGAGGCGACCGGCCACTTGAGACGGGACAAAACCTGCAGTTTGCGGGTATCAAAGCTGAACCCAGAAAAACTCTCCTGCCTCATTAGCGCGGAAACCCCCCTTTTCAGCAAAATAGTGTCCGTAGTGGTTTGCAGTTAAAAAGACTTGTGTTGAGGTGCTGGAAATGAAAGGAGATAGAAAGGGAGAAGAGCATTGTCCCAGCGAGAAACTGCACAGAATAAGATAAACATTATTTAGCCAAGTTGGATCCCTTTTGGAAAGGATCGGTAACAGGCTTGACGCTCCAGAACCCAGACTTTTGTCTTTAGCGTATTAAACCTTTAAAAAAAATTTAAGCTTCATAAATTCTTTCCAAAAAATAGATCCAGTTTGGGGGAGGGGCGGGGGG